ATAGAAGGTAGCCAATGGAGGTACACACCTTTGATCCCAGGACTCGGGATTAAGAGGTAGATGGATCTCTGTTAGTTCAAGGCCACACTATGCTACACAAAATTGATTCAGTCCTAAAGAAAAACAGCTCACACAAAGATGATCTCAGCACCTAGGGTCACATGCCTTTAATCCCAGCACTACGGAGGAGGAGACAGGATCTGAGGGCCTTTTGCTTCTGAGGATTCGTAGAGACAGGATTGCCATTTCAGCTGGGTAGAGGTAAGAGCTACTAGCTTGGCTGCTTTGCTTCTCTGATTTTCAGTTTGAAGCTTGAACCCCAATATCTATCTCTGGATCTTTTATTTTGTGTGCTGCAGGGTGCCTTTCAGAAATAGAGAAATATCTGTAGATGTGTTCATACGATTACTTGAGAAGGTGATGAGAGGAACACAGGAAGACAGATTCTTCCTCTTCGTGTACTGACATTTGTTAAAGCTGAGAATGGGGACATCATGCTCATTAATGCATTGCCCTATTATTTTTATATATGCTTGACATTTTTCACAACAAAGATGAAAATAGCAACAAAAAGTGAACCATACTAGCTTTTTTCAAGATGCTTCTGAATATCATTAGGCAACTGATGAAAGTTTTCAAAATGGACAATATTTTTTAAAAAATAGGAATCTAACTTTAGAAAACAATTGCATTTTCCATGGATCACATTGCAAGATGAATGACAGCCATGGTGGCAAGGGGAAGCAAACAGAATCCTCTAGAGCACTGAATCTATAAAGTTTCTAGGGAACATTTAGCCATCTGAAAAAAAAAAAAAAAAGATGGGGGTGAGGAGACTTGCAGGACTAGGTGTCCAGGTCACAGTCTAGGTGCACCACCTACTGGTGGCAAAATTCAAGTGGTTTCCTAGGCCTTAAAATGCATACATCAGCCTGACAGGTTGCTATGAGGCTAAGTCAGTCAATATTCATAGGGAATTTGGACCAAGTTCTGGCATTGGGTGTTATGTTAACCCAGCAATCTCCTCTTTCAGTGGCTTTGTCTTCTTTTCCTTTTCTTGAAAATAAAAAGTCAGCTGGCCAGTGATGATACACACCTTTAATCCCAGCACTCAGAAGGCAGAAACAGGCAGATCTCTTTGAGTTCAAGGATAGCCTGGTCTACAGAGCAAGCTCTGGGACATCCAAGTCTACACAGAGAAACCTTGTCTCAAGGGGGAGGAGGGGGGAAATGTATAAATCAATAAAAACAAGTTCAAAAAACAAAAAGAGAGAAGGAGGGAGAGGAAAGGAGAGGAAGGAAGGAAGAAAGGGGGAGGGAGGGAAAGGGAGAGGGAGGAAGGGAAGGGGGAGGCAGGAAGGAGGGAAGGAGGAAAAAGGAAGGAAGGAGAAAATCAAACCTCCAGATTCGCTCACCACTCTCTCTGAGAAATATACCTCGAGGTCTTCAGGCACTTGGCCTTGGCTGGCTCTAAACTCTGGGCTCTCTGATTCTGGTGCCTGAGCTCTTGCACTGAATCACACCATTGTCCTCCAGGAGTCTGCAACTTTCAGGTGTCCTATTGCAGGGTTTCTCAGCCTTCACTGAGTGGAAGTCAACTCCCCTAATAATTCCCCTCTCTAGATCCCTTTCTACATCTAACCGGTTTTTGTCCTGCCAGCATTGGTTCTCTTGCACTTCTAGTTGCCACTACAAGCAGACTACGCAACAGTCCACAGGAGCAGACGCAACCCAGAGGCAAAAAAGCAGATCCCAAGGCATAAGTGCTGGGGAGGCTGTCACTAGACATGTGCTACTCGGAGTTCCAAGTGGCCAGAGTACGATAGACAAACCAGGATGAGGTACCACAAGCATGACTTTACTCAAACTGAGTAAGATGTTGGCAGGATCTAAGAGAGCTCCTACCATTCCAGACATGCCGATCCTTTTTCCTCATCACATAGCTCCTGGGATAACCATCATACATATCAACTGTCAATGACAAGAGACACTCAAAGGAAATGACCTGTAGGAGGCTCAGCTTAAAGAAAACAAAGGAGGAACCAGGCTTGTAAACATATGATCCTATTTTCTTCAGCAGAAGGAAATGAATGGTGCCTGGTCACCTGGAACTCTGGAGTGAAAGTGGTCAAACAACCTGATGATCCTTTGCTATTCTATGGAGCCAGCCTTCCCCAGAATTTCCCCCAAATCCTCAGAAATGTTTAGGTCCTAATCCTGACCTTTGTCTCTCAGTGACTATTACTCATTCTTATGAAAGAGGCCCCTTGTGGTAGTTTGAATGTAATTGACCCCTGTAATCTCCTAGGGAGTGGCATTATTAGATGTGGCTTTGTTGGAGTGGGTCTGACCTTGTTGTATCATTGTGGGGGTGGGCTTTGAGGTTTTCTATGTGCAGGATACTGCCCAGCGTCTCAGTCAACTTCCTGTTGCCTGCAAGATTTAGGACTCTCAGCTCTTCCTCCAGCACCATGTCTGCCTGAATGCTGCCATGCTCCCCACCATGTTGATAATGGACTGAGCCTCTGAAACTGTGAGTCACTTCCATTAAATGTCTTCCTTTATAAGAGTTGCCGTGGTCATGGTGTCTCTTCACTGCAATAGAAACCCAAAGACAGCCCCAAATAGTCTGCCTTCACCATCAGCAGAACCCATCCTTAATGCTTATTACAAATCCTTCCTCCTTAGGCCCTCAGCTCTGCTTATTAGCCAATAGAATTCATTCTTATTGCAATGGTCATGGGTGCTTTTCTACTTTGCTAGAGAGTTTCTATATAGCTATGCCTAAAGCTTTGTTGTGATAACTGTCACATGGAACCCCTTTTCCAATGTTTTACTGTGCTTAAATGTGCAAGAAAAATAAACTGGGGAGGGGGTGAGACTCTGGACATTTAGACCCAGCACCTGTAAAACTGGTGCTGACGGAGTTTCCTTCTTCTCCTCATGTCACAGATCATCTCCCTGCAAGCCATGGGGCTTGAGGGGTCCCTGACAATTACCACCTGTCCAACTGTGTCCAGTGTCCATGAAGAGTCCTTGACTCTAACCTCACCAAACTGTTTCCCTTAAACCAATATGACCCTGGCCCTCCCCCTACCCAAGCACTGAATCACTTTGCTCTCTGTGGCGCTTTTCTTCCACCACTCTTCCTGTGTCTCCTACAAGCACATCAGCATTTAGCCCAAGTTTCAGGACCACTCAAGAGCTCAACAGGAGTCTACAGAGAGCAACGGTTGGCAACAGGTAATAATGGCTGGAGCCCAGTGATGATGACATGGACTCACCATGCTATTCCTTCCATTTGTACATGTTTGAATTTTTCATTAATGAAGGGCTGGAAACACCTTTTTGTGGCAAACATGAAGGTGTTCATTTGACTACTTTTCTTTTAGGATGATCAAATTGCTGTTCAACTATGAGAGATGAAATTGACAGAATTCAACTGCACTCAGCTGAGGTTTCCCATGACCCCAGGCTCCTCCAGCCAATGACAAAGCGTATTAGTTACGCTTTGTCAGGCAAGCTCAGCCATATGGAAACTCCACAGTTGGCAGTCCTAACTCTGAAGTTCTCTGTGAGAGCCGTCCATTGCTGTCTGAGCTCTCCTACCTTCTGCCTTGTGGTAGTTTGAATAAGAATGGTCCCCATAGGCTTATAGATTTGAATGCTTGGTCACCAGGAAGTGATACTATTTGAAAGGATTAGGAAGTGTGGCCTTGTTGGGACAGATGTGGCCTTGTCGGGAATGTGTTTTGCTATGTGTGGGCTTTGAAGTTTCAGAAGCCCCAGCCAGGCAGTGCCTCTCTCTTCCTGCTACCTGTACCGTGTCTGCCTGCATGCCCATGCTTCCTACCATGGACTGAACCTCTGGAACTTTATAAGAGTTGCTGTGGTCATGGTGTCTCTTCACAGATTGCTGACTAAGACATGCCTTCCTTCCTTCCTTCCTTCCTTCCTTCCTTCCTTCCTTCCTTCCTTCCTTCCTTTCTTCTTTCCTTCCTTCCTTCTTTCCTTCCTTC